GGTCTCCAGCTTTCAGCCATTTCCTCTTCATCTGCGTTCGGCCTCTGTAAGCCTGGTGCTGTTCTTCATTCTGGTCAGAGCCGTTCTCATACACGTGGACCTTCCTGTCTTTCATGTCCTTCCACTCCACTTTAGCGTCTTTAGACAGCAAAACTGTGGTTTTGCAGGGCAGCTGGACAGACTCCACCTCTGAATCCACCTCCACCTTGTAACCTTTGAGGACAACAAAGGACAACATGATGACGTCAGCAGCAGCTGTGAACAAGTTTGTGAGAGCCACAGTCAAGGAGCCACCAGAGGACACCTGCTGACCATCGGCATTATGGGTAGTGTAGTAAGAGACACTCACCTGACATGAAATAGTGCCGGAAATTATATATGAGACCTCCAAAAACCACAAGAAGAACCAGGAGAAACAGGAGCACAAGAACAGCTTTCGCCCAGGATGGAAATGGTTCTGTACACAAACATAAAAATATGACCTCTGACCTGTATCTACATCTCTGACCTTTGACCTGTGGCATCATCGCTGACCTTTGACCTGCAGCACTACTTTGTGTCTCAGGATGTCTTTGTCCCTGTAGATGGTGCAGATGTATCCTCCACTGTCTCTCTCTGTGGGGTATTTCAGGGTCAGACTGAGGTCTCCAGCTCTCAGCAGGTCTTCGTTCATCTTCGTGCGACCACAGTAAAGGTCGTCCTGGTTCTTAAGGTGGTCACTTCTGTTTGAATACACATGGATCATCATGAGTTCTCGGTCAGAGCGAGTCCACTCCACTGTGGTGGCCTCAGGCAGGTCAGGTGTTGTTTTACAGGGCAGGATGACGGAGTCTGAGCCTTCCTCCACTTTAACCACCACTTGCTGGTCTGTGAGGACAACAAACCACAACATCAGCTGTAGAAGCAGACAATGGGAGTCGTAGCACTGATCTAATCTGGGTATGTTTTGCCAATCGTGATTGTATACAAGAACCATACTTTTCAACAATAAAAGTTAAATAATAACTGCTTCCTGTTTCAAAGCTACATTTACTTTATTGCTCTTCTTCAGTGAACGTAAAGATTTGAAGCACTGATGTCAAAGAGCCTGAAATTACAACAACCTTGACCTGAGGTCACTCTGCAATAATGCTATCTAAGCACTTGGTGACAGTGAGAAGGAAAAGTTCCTTTTAACAGGAAAAAAGCTTAAACATTTATATTTTATGTGACCACCCATCAAACCTAAATTCTGTTTCTTTGCTTTACTTTTTCCTACTGAAAACGTCATCAGTGCAGGCTCTGCACATGAACAAACAAATACAAATCTTTAGAACTAACGTTTGTCCAGAAAAGGTAAAAAATTATAATTCACAACA